AAATCCCACACCTGGCAATATTGGGCATCTCTTAAATATACGAAGACATTAACCTTGGATGTGCATGAGGCTGCAGTGATCTCTCTTCTCACCACTTTGTCCCTGAAGTCCTTTTCAGACTCCAGGAGGAGCAGAACACAGAACTGCATTTGCAGCTTTCTGCCTTGCTGAACTGCTGGCTTAAAGATCCCTTCTCCCCACAGAAAGAACACACAACAAAAAAATTTCCCAATGAGTTTCATGATTCCATCATAAAGAGGAGGTGGTCTGGCACTGCAATTTATGAAACACATACTGCTTTGGAACAGTTGAAAAGAGATGAGGATCTATCAAGTCTCCCTGTACTGTGAAGTGTTCCCTGTATCCTAATCCCATCTCTACTGTGAATATTTAGCATTAGGGGAATAAAAAAAATACTATGTGGGATTTCTTTTTAGATGGAGCAAAAGCTGGGAAGGTTGTGGGTAGAGAACACCATTAGTGGAAAGAAACAGCAACAGAATAGATGTCTTGAGCAGTTCTACATTTTTCACAATTAAAATTTGACACGTTTTACTATCCTGCCAGTGGTTAACTTAAGCCTGCAGAATATTAAATTAAATTACCCATAAAATAATTATATCAGTATTAAAACAGAAGTAATTTTTTGCAACATAAAGATGAAAGCTCATACTGCACGCCATCTATAAAAATCAGTGGCCATACAATACTTAGCTCAGTAAGCATCAATATTTACTGAAATGTTCAAAGAAAGACATTCAGTCAATCAAATCATTTTCCAATGGAGTTTCAGTAGTTTAATTTGTTAATAACATATTTTAAGAAGCTATTAAACTGTCATGTACTTCAGACTGCTCTACAGTTGCTTTCTAATCAGTGCTGATTACTAAAATATTTGTATCTGACAAATTTGCTTTCAACTTATAATCATCCTTTCTAATTCCTCCAGTAGTTTAGCAATTTGATTTCTGCAGCAGTGATGTTATGAAAAGAACAGTGAACAGCAGAGTCCTAAACAGCTGCTCTGAAAAATATCCCTGGGGCCAGCAGAACCACTCTCTCCCTTCACTGGTGTTTCTGTTTTCAAGGATGACAATAACTTCCCTTCTTCTGTGTGGCCCATTGAGTGTGATGAATGAAAAGCACTTTAACAAAGTTAGAGTTATTATTAAAAACCCATCTTCCTGACTCTGCACAGTGTTAGTCGTAGAGAGTAACTGCAGGCAGATGCACTGATCCAAAAGTCACACTCTGGTAGAAGGAAAGGGCATAAAGAAGGTGGGAACTTGAGCCAGCTCCTTAAACCTTGGCCATCCTTCACAAGATAAAAAGGGTAGGTCTTCAACTCACACCTAAGTCCAAGCGTGGCATGAAAAAGAGTGTAAGTTTGCTTCTGGTATCATCTCAATTATGTAAAGCATTACAGGAAACCCAACCCTTTGCTTCAAACCAGGAACAAAAAAGAGAACAGTTCCTTAGAGAGGTGTCTGGGGTGTAGCATACCACAAAAGGCAGCATTTTGATTGTCTGCAACTTTTCTAGTATGAAGTATTCCGAACTGAAAGAGGATCTACACATTCCACTTGCAGTTTTGGGAGACATGGTTAAATAAATCACAGTTTTATTAACAGCAGCAGAGATGGAGTTTCTATAGGCTGATAGATAAACTAACGGTGGAATGAGTTCACAAAGCATGTTTCCAACATTCTCTGCTCAGAGCTGTAGTAGGTAGGCTTGCGTCTAAGAGGAACTTGGACTGTATTTGGTGTTACACAGGTATGAAGATAGAATGGGACATTTTAATTATCATCATTAGAGCTTTGCTCTTGCCTAGGGGCAACCAAATTCCTACTCTTACTCTGGAACCTGACTTCGCAGCTTCTAATAAAAACACTTCCCACCATGGGAAAAAAAAAAAAGCCTCTCATCTTTATAAAGACCTGTCACATACTTTTCTTATGCTTGTAGAAGTACTGAAACTCTTAAGAGCAGCAAGTCTAATTTCAAGTCATACAGTTGTAGAATTGTTTAGACATAGATTCATTTTCTGTAAAATGTTGCTTCCAGATTGAGTAAATGAAGAGTTTCACCATCATGGCACATCAGTGCACCACAGAAAAACAGAGCATGAATTAAGCTTCATCATATCCTTACCAGCTATGTGGCTATGACTTTTATTGGTTGGTTGCTGCAGCTTTGATTTGATAATTTTAATGGATTTATTGGATCATTATTTATTTTACTTACCATTCAGTGGTTTTAAAAAACCCTTGTGGGTTTTGGTTGTTTTTTTTGGGGGGGATGGGGAGGGTGGGGTAAAGCATAGCATGTATCTTTGTATATGTTCACACCATTTTAAATTCTCATGCCATACATTTAGCCATCCTTTGCAATTGATCAGTTTCAGACAAACCCAGCAGTGTGATGCTTTCAAAGTATATCTTCTTGTACAAATGCTCTGATTTGGTCCATGCAACCATAGCAATAAATCCGTTCCTGTCAGGAGATGTGGCATTGCCCACACCATGATTACAGGTGTACTGCCTGCAGTACAAGAAATCAAAAGGGGCTGATGGAGGCGAGTGACAGTTTGGCCAAGAAAGGACTTGGAACCGGTTGTCCTAATGGAAATTCAAAGTGCACAAAGTGGCCCACTCTCCTGTTTAGCAATATAACAGGAATTACTTCAGTCTCTCTCTTGCTTCAGAAAATGCAATATAAATCAGAATGCAATCACAGAACAGCATGTTCCCCCCTGCTGCAAGACATAGATGGAAGTAAAGTGCTCAGGAAAGATGCAGTGCAGACAGCAACTGAGGGAGGGAGGGAGCATTGAGGCAAGAAGACCTTTTGTAGCCTTAGCTCTCACTGACCTCTTAGACAAAGAGTGTCTTGAGTGTCTTTAAACCTCCCCTGAAACAAGGAAAGAAAGAGAAGAAGCACTGCAAGTAGGCATCAGAATAGTCAAGTACTTTAAAATGTTGGGGCCCCATGCCATGCATGAAGAAAGGAGCTGAGCTGCACTTGTGCATCAGTCTAGCTTGTTGTATATGCAAGATACACTGGCTGTGGAGTGGAGAAGAAAGCACTAAGAGCAGAGAACAGGAAATGGTGGTGCTGCCAGGGCTGAAGAAGCAGAAGAGCAGCTCAAGGCCTCACTCTGCCAGTGCAGATGTTCATGGGTCACTGTGGCATGTGCCACTCACTCCCCACGTCAGGTAGCTCTTTTTTGAGAGATAGCTGCCTCACACATCAGAGTGCACTGCTGCAACATGACCAGGGGGCTGTCCCTCCACAATTTTCCTTCTCCTTGTGCACCAGAGCCTACACAGCAAATGGAAACGTGCTGAAATACTCCATTCTCTAATGGTGTGGAGTTTTGCCACCCACCAGCAGCCAGATGCAAACTGTAGGGACTCAGTGGGGCTGCTGCAGTTTTCTTGTAGTGTTTGTACCTATATATATGTATCTCACAGTAATTTTTGTGTGTATACTCACAGCATACAAACACAGAGTCATTAAGGTTGGAAAAGACCACTAAGATCATCTAGTCCACCATCACTATGTCTGTTACCCATGTCCCACAGTGCCACATCTATGCGTGTCTTCAGAACCTCCAGATACATGCACATATTGTATTTATAGCTACTCAAATTGAAGGAAGTGATCTTCTAGTTTTACTTTAAATTCCACTATTCATCACTTAGGTAGCAGTCTTATCACCAAGATTTTCATTTAGTTTAAGCTGAAAACAAGTTCTCAGGTCATTTTTAAAAATGCAATTTGAACAAGACATGAGTAAAAGTGAGGGAAGGCCAGAAAAACATATTTTCAAAAGTTTCTGGTAATTTTGGCCACATAAATCTCTCAGTGTGCCTTTTTGCATGCTGGTCCTATGCATCCTAGGCATGTTGTGCCTGCAGATGATGAGGGCCCTTCCTGTTCTGTACCTCCTCAGGAGTGGATAGGCCCAGACAACCCTGGCTCAGACTTTCTACGCCTGCAGAAAAGGGCAACGGTGTCCTACCTCCTCCTATGGAGGTACGTGGGGATTTTTGGATCTACATAAAAGTAGATATAATGGATTCTGAAGCTTAAGCTAGTTTCATAAAGTCCCCTCTCTTTTATCTAGCATAAGCCCAACTTTTCCTTCTTTCTTCTTTGACAGGCAGGAATTTGTAACACCATGCATAGTCCTGCCAGGGAGTCTATTTACACTGGGGCCTTGCTTAATCCCTATGCAAACCACTGATCTGCAGTGACAGGTAGGTAACCTTCTTTTCCCAGACTGATACATGGGCTTGACTTGGTGTTTTCATTAGGTGCAGTCCATGCCTTGACCAAGCACAGAACTTCTCTGCAGCACAAACCTCTTTACCTCTTTGCTTTGTGCACAAACACAGCCCAGTATGAAAACAGCATAGAAAGACCTGGTGCAGCAAAAATACCTATCAAAATATTGCCCCTGTCATGTTCATAGCCATCCATTCATAATGGTACACACCTGATGTACCCTCAAACATGAGGAAAAATGTCAGAAAACTGTTTTTCCTTACCATTTCCCACATTTGCTTTCCAGTTTCTGTATTTCTTTACTTTAGAAACAGAGATTGCTTCTCCATGCCAATCCCAGGAGAGCAGAGCTAGTGCTAATGAATTAACCCCCACATTGTGATTTGCCATTGCTGGATCAATGACTCTGCACCCATGCAAAGCAAATTCATGACTCATTCCAGTACTCCTTCCAGAATATGATGAGCTCTAACTACTTTGCTTTCCTCATAGCTCTGGCAAAGAGCATATGTACATTATATCAAAGACACTTCCAAAGCCATTGATGCTTATATTATTTTCTTCAAAGGAGAGGGAAAATTAGAGGAAAACTGCCAGGAAACAGGGCTGTCAGTATTCCCCCTCTGCCTCTCCCACAGCCACCCAAGGGAGAACCCAACGTCCAAGATGAACTCGGAAAGCTGTGCCAGAAAGTACCCATCACTCACCTTCGAAATAGAAGCCTGACTGAATCTGAAGGACCCTCGGAAGGGCTCTGGGGTCCAGAGAATGAATGAATTTCTCCAGGGTAGATACCATGGCTAGCCACAAGGCAGCATGTAATTTTGGTGCTTGAAGGCCAGCGAGGCTTTAGAAACTGCAAGGCTTACAGCCTGGTGCATGTTGTGCCTGGTGAGTGTTGGGGGTGTGGGGATGGGGAGGAGTGGTGCAGGGAGGTACTTCTACTTCTTTGACCTGCAGGCTGCTTCCTCCCACAGCTGCAGGTGGAGTGCTGTGATGTGGGGATGCCAAGCTGGGCTACCTGGCTCCACCAAGTGGTGTGGGCATCAGTGTGGGTACTGGACTTGGGAGCAGACAGGGGCATCCACCATGAAGCTCCATCTCACTGATTGTGGCTACTGGTTTGATGCTTGGAAATATCAATTCTGTGAAGAAAAGAGAGAGAGAAAAAAAAAGGCATTTAACACCTGCCCTATCTAAAATGGGAAAAAGGTATCACATTGAGTGGGTTGAAGTTGATTTTTTTTCCCCCTATAAGCGTGGCAAAATAACTCAGTGTTTGGTATCTTCAAAACCACAAAGACCTTTTGAAGAGAAAAAACGAAACCATTTTGTTCTGATACTTTTTCTTCCTTAAGCACTGTAGCTGGATTTGAGTTATAAAAATGGAGTACCTGAGTTTGCCATGTAAATGGACATTAAAACACAATGTTGCTATGCAAAATGACCAGGATATTTATGTTTTTTGTCACCAGTGAGTCATGGGGATTCCAATTTGAGATACTGAAAACAGGAATGGATTTTAAGAGGCTACTTTCCAATACAGTGTGAAAATCTGACTGTATTAAAGGAAAAATCCTAGCACTTGTTCTGATGCTGCTGTTCAGAACTTTAATGAGTGCTGCTATTGAAGCAACGTTCCTTGGAAGAGTGAGACATGCAGCGAACAAGTGGTAGAATCAGATCACCAGGAAAGCTGAAGCGTGTGCTCTCATGTTCCCCTTGCACCATTCTCATGCTGCCCTGAGGTGTCAGAAAGCAGGAAGGATGTTAGACAAACTGGTAAGCGTGACAATAACCAACTGTTTATTTTCACTAACCTCTGAGACTGTATTTCATGTTAAAATTCAGAGGAAACAATATAAGCTTTATGTTGTGGTTTAGCTTGGCAAGCAGCAGCACACGGCCTTTCGCTTACTCCCAGCCCTCCCAGTAGGATAGGGGAAAAGAATCAGAACAAAAAGGTGGAACTCATAGGTTGAGATAAAAACTATTTACCAAAACAGAAAATGGATAGATAAAAAACAGTAATAATCATTATACACACACACACCTATATATTTAAAAAACAAGTAATGCGCAACAAAACTGCTTACCATTTGCTTACCAGTGCCCAGACATTCCTAAGCAGTGGCTGCACCCTCCTAGCTAATTCCCCTTAGTTTACAGTTTTTTTCACATGATGTCATACAGCATGGAATGACCCCTTGGCCTCTCTGGGTCAGCTGTCCTAGTTCTGCCCCTACTCAGCTCCTTCTGCCCACAACCCCCTAGCTGGCAGGGAAGCACAAGAAACTGGAAAACTGGAACATCTTTGGCTTTGTACAGCACTGCTCAGCAAAAACTGAAACACCTGAGTGTTATCAACATTGTTTTTCACCAAAAGCCAAAACACATACTAGATATTATGAAGAAAATCGACTCCGCCCTACCTGAAACCAGAACAGCTTCTGCGTATGTTTAAAACCCAAATGCTAAAAGAGGATGCTTTTGAGGTGCCATTTTAACTGTGGTACTTGGAGAATTCACTTAATCTTAACAAATGTTGCTGCAGAACATGTGAAAGAAGGTTTATAAACAGAGAGACTGCAGGTGCAGAGCTTGCTATCGTCAGTTGTTAGTGCTGCAGGTGCTGCAGGCAAAACAAATAACAGGACTTTAGGTTTAATAGTAAAAGGCAAGGTAGACAATATGCAGATCTAATGACTCATGCACTATTGTAACACCCAGAACTCCTCCCCTCTTTCCTCCCAGCAGCCGTGTCAAATTAAGCAAATAGCTCTGATCTGGGAGAGAGTTGGGGAAATCATACAGGTTCAGTGGTAATCAAAAGATCAACTGTAAAAAGCTGACAGTCCCAGGGTCCAACTAGGATTGCATGCATAATTTTTAAGCACGTAAAGATGTCTACTGAAATAGCTGAAACTACACATGTTTCAATGCAACATTTTCATATGTTGAAAAAATATGTGCATAACTCTAGTGAATCAAAGCCAATTTTCTGCATATACATGCTCCTGAGGTTGTCAGGGAGTGTGTCAGTGCCAAGAACTTGGCTTTACCTCTTCACATTTTTTTGGTTTATGGATAAAGAGCCCTTGGAGCCATTTTTACTGTTTCTGAATTCATTTGTATTTGGCTTTTCAGTTTGTTAAGACTGCCAGAAACACAAAAGCCATTTAACATGGGCTGCAAAGGCACGTACAAATTAATAACTGTTATTGAAATCATTTAAAACCAACAAAGCAAGAATACTAACATGTATGGGTTTTGTGTAAGACAAGCACAAAACCTGCTGTTAGGCTGATGAATCCAGCAGCACAACAGCAGTGAGGCTGTCACAGATCCATGTCCCCAGTACAGCAGCTTGTGTCCCCAGCAGACACAGAGATCTAAACACAAATACACTGTTGGCCACAGAGCTCAATTCAGAAACACAATCACATGAGCACCAACTGCCTCACTCTAATCTCCTATAGTGGGATCACCCCAACACTCCCTATGATGCTCTAGTGTGCTTTGTGCAGGATCTCTTTTCTCTGAGATGTCGTTTGAGTTCTTAGCTGTTTTTGTGCCTCTCTGCTTCCTCCTGTGGGCAGATTAGCCCTCAATGGGCTGATGGCCCTGCTGTAGCACACCTGGGAATACCCAGCTATGGTACCTTATGCTTCTCTGTGTGTGTGGAGAGCAGCTCTTTCTCACACAACCTAACAAAATTCAGGAATACTACCCATTGCTCATGTGTTACCTGAGGAATCTTAACATCTGTTAGCACCAAGAGCAGTTTGCCCAAATACTTTGCAGGAGCTTTTTCCAGATTGATGGGTGACGGAAAGTGCTGAGAAAAACCATTCACCACCTCCATTATGTTCTTCATCCCAGAAAGGAAGACTGCCACATCATCATCATGGACTGCTGGTAAAAATGAGGGAGGTGAGCTATTGAAGATTAAATCCTCAGGAGGATCTGGAATTGGAAGATTTTATTCTGCTTCAATACTGAAGATAAAGACAAGCTGGATAAAAATACGTATAGCCTGTATTGAAAAGAGCCAAAATATGAGACCAATCTTCTCATACCAAAAGAACCAATAGGTCCCAAACCTATCCTTACCACAACTATTTCTCTGAGCTATTGTTTTCTGCATTAAGAACTCCATGTTGCCCGTGTACTCCAGCAGTCTATAGGCAGCATTTCGTTTGGCCACTCCATCCCCATAGTTCTCCATATTTTCCAGCATTTCGTTTGGCCACTCCATATCCCCCATAGGGATATTTTTTACTGGTAAATATATATGTGTTTTACTTCCTGATTTCCAGGAAGCCAATGCAATGTTTGAGGTTTGCAAATAAAATCAGTTCCAAATCTGTAAAAGTTTGTGGTTGTTTTCCAAGCTCAGACCTATCTCCTGATAAATGCAGCCATTAGTTGAGCTGCTTGAAGAGAATCTTTGAAATGGTTCAGTAAATATGAAACCAGGCATTATGTCTGCAGGAAGATACGCCCCACTTACAGAGCTTATAAATACAAGGGAAATGTATTTGATATTTGAGCTGGCAGAACTATAATTCCAAAGGGGAGGATGCTCTAGGGAAACTGGGAACAGCCAAGACTTGGAAGGCAGCTGTGAATAAGATTTGTATTGAATGGTTTTGCTGCCTTTTGAATCAAACTGTAGGTATGGCAGCAGTTTAGCATGCTTATGTGTTTATTCCAGTGCAAGGTAGAAATTCCACCTGTCATTAATAATAAAGTCAGACTAAACTGTAGGGAATTCTTCCTGACACAAGCACACATTGAGCTGTGAAATAATCTCCCAAGGGAACAAATGGACACTTGGATGTCTAGGCCTCAACTAAATACAGGACTACACAAAGGTTAAGAACAGTGTTCTGATAAATAAGTCATCTGTTACTATAGGTAACATAGCAGCTGCATAATCATGCTTTGTTTATAAGAGTCTACTGGCTCTACAGCTAAGTGGACTGAACAGCATTATACTAAAATTCATCCACAGGCCTGAATCCAGCAAGAGAAGAAGCCACAGAAATTTCAGTAGCTGGGACCTTCCTCTCCCAGGTTTTTGGTTTTATAGGACCATTAAGATTTTATAGAGCCCATCTGAGCTGCACCTGACTCACAGCTGACAGCCAGGTCCTTTCAATGGCCTTTGTGACATAAACTGGTGTTCTCAGCAGCTTCTTTATTACCTCTATCATTATACATGCAAAAAAAATCTATTCCCTACAGTGATACCCTGGGATATCCTGGGGAGACAGGGATCGAACAGGCTGAAGATCTAATTGCCAATAGGGCATTACAACATGATAGATGCATCTCTGTGTAAAAGTTATTCTACTGCTTCTGTATGCATAGATTGCCCAGTAAAGCCAAAATTATTGCCCCTGGAACACAGAAATTTTCTTTCCAGTTCTCTTAGCCTCACATTTATGTAAAATCCTCCCACACCTGTAACAATCACTTCTAATTTCACTTTAAAATTTAAAGCATTTATTGCACAGTGTATTTCAATGATAAAAAATACACATATATATATATACTTCAACATTCCTACTTCCACATGCAGTCTCTGTTCATACTCCCCTTGGGATGAGTCAGTTTGGGTAGAGGACTTCTTAATTCTCCAGACAAAGTCATAGCAAGATCCTGCTGAAAATTGAAATAAGGTTCTGTGTTAAAAATCAAAGATGATTAAGCCCAGAAATGTATAGTATTTCACTATCAACTGAAACCTGTAGACAAAAATAAAATCCACCCTTGTAAAGACTTTATCTTGCTCTACTCCAAGTTGTTGGATTTGGTACACAATGATTGAGTGAAAAATCCGAAAGCCTTCACAAAGCAAGCAGTCACCCCAATGGATTATGACAGTTCCTGCCTTTAAAATCCTGGAACATTTTAATGTCCTG